AGCCATCCTGCAAAGAAAGCTATTTGAAAAACGAGGTCCTCAGAATTTGGTTCAATACAACATATGTGCAGCTTTTCTGCGCTGATGCAGATAAGAGAAAGATTGTCATGATGATCGCTACCATTCGTAACGGATAGGCATATCAAGAAGAAGAATACAGGAATATTACGAAGACAGCTTTGCTTAGAATATGGAGCGTCATTGGGGTGGGTAAGGATATGACTCATAGAAGAATAATAAATAGATGACAGTTCAACTAAAAGAAAACAAGAAATTATGAATTCTAGCAAACTTTTGAAACAGCGTCAATAAATCTTAACCCGAGATTTATAAAGGAATTAATATCGTCATAAAACATATCAAATAATTTACAATCGAAATTATAAAATTGAATCGTCTATCAATTAATAAAATTTAAAAAATAGTACATTGTTTACCGGGTAGGAAAAGCTTAACATTCCTGGACGACTGTGAAGATTGCTAAGTCGAGGCGCAAGCCGAGACTTAGCAACACAGAGTCCAGGAATGTGGCTTTTCCTACGAGGTAAACATACTATTTTTCCGCAAATCGTTTAAAATTCGACAGATATTGATTGATTTAAAAAAACGTGATAATTTTATTCCCAAATAAATGGTGCTTTGAAATTCCAAATAAAATTACTTGGGATACTATGGAAACGTATTGAGGTTGAATTGTCAAACTTGACGCTTATAAATTTAATTGCTAACAACTGTACGGAAATATCATTTCCTTACAGTAAGGAAATGACATTTCCTTATAGTAAGGAAGTCCTGACTTTTTCTTCAAGAAATTTTGACAGGAATGTCAAAATTTCCTGGCGATTTGCGGAAAAATGTATTTATTTGGGTAATGCTTTAAAAAATAAAAAAATGAAGAACTAGTAACATCAATAAATTATTATAAAGAATATTCAATAAGGTAAATAAAATTAATTATTGCTTACATTCTAAAATTCTATTTAAATTCGATCTTAAATAAATATAGAGAAGGACTGCAATTCGATAAACCGAAAAAGCTTTTTGGGTTGTATTTTATAATATTTATTATAAATAACACCTGTTCTTGTAATATTAAAAAAGTGCCCAACTTTTTAATACATACAAAACGAATCATATACTTTATTTCAAATAAATAAAATTCTTGGAAAAACGTAACTTATGAATGTTTAAAATAAGTACGAATTTAATAACAAAATAAGTCATACAATGTGTCCTTAATTGGTCGCAAAAAAAAACAAAAATCGTCTGTTTAAAATGTTTACACACACTTAAAATCGGCGAGCGGTGAATTGAAGGACACTCATCTCTTCGGCCAATATACTAACGCCAAAAGCGGTTAGTCCTTCGGAAGTGACAAAAACCAAGGATACATTACCTTCTTCTCATCGGCAGAAAAAAACTATAACATAGAATTTAATAAAATAACGAGAGCAGGATCAGCACTCAGCTCTGAATTGAAACGTGTATTGAAAAAACCCTGTGAAATAAGAAAAATACTTCTACAGTTTATATTTGAACGAATGTAGATGAAAAAAATATTTAAACTTAGCACAAACGTAAGGTTTTTACTACTGAACTCGACTTAAAAATTAAGAAATAAGATAAAATCGGGGTGTTTTTTTCTTTTTATGACCGATCGCCAGGCTAATTAAAAATAAAATGGCAATATAGACATTTTTATTAGGTACTTGGGGGAAAGAAAATGCAGCTGCGTTTATAATATGGTATTTTCGTGAAAAAAATTACATAATTTTAACATACACCCAGAGAAAATTAATGACATGGAAACTTAATATTGTTCTGAAGCTATTTTCTTGTGGCATTTTAAGTTAATTCGGCCCTGACAATATTCCACCAGAGTTGTTAAAAGCTTGCCCAGGTACAGTGGCAGAGCTAATCCAACCACTCTTGAAAAGGGCTTGGAGAGGAAAAGTTCCCCAAAGAATGGAAAACGGGATTAATAATTAAGATACCAAAAAAGGGTGATAGAAGATATTGCGAAAACTGGACAGGAATCACACTTCTGAATACTATAAATAAATTAACAGCAATAATTATAAACAACCGTCTAACAAACAGTGTAGAACCAATGTTGAGGAAGGAACAAGCCGGTTTCAGACCAAACAGATTATGCGTGGACCAAATTAACACACTAAGAATAATTGTAGAACAGTCACAGGAATTCAACTCTCCTCTCTTTGTGCGCTTTGTGGACTTCAAGAGAGCTTTTGACACGCTCACACATACGGCCATATGGAAAGCACTGCAGAAAATAGGAATACCAGACAAAAAAGTAAATCTCATCAAAGAACTCTACAGTGACACAGAAAGCAAAATCCTACACAACGGCATAACATCTGACCCAATAGCTAAGCTAAACGGAGTAAAGCAGGCTGTGTTTTATCCCCCATACTATTTAACATTTTACTGGACTCCGTACTAACAAAGGTAAACTCTAATAGAGGAATTTACTGGGGATTAACAAACAGACTGGAAGACCTAGATTACGCTGATGATATATGCCTCCTAGCACATACAAAACAGGACATGCAACTCCAAGTAAACAAAGTACAAGAAGAATCAAAGAAGGTTGGTCTAGAAATAAAAATCAACAAAACCAAAGAAATGCGATTTGGTACCGGAAAACAACCAACCTATTATGATCAACGACCAGAAAATTGAGAGAGTAGCGGAATTTGTATATCTGGGCAGCATAATTGACTGTAATGGGGGTACAGAGCGTGATGTACATGAAAAAATAAATAAGGCTCGCAACGCCTACAACATGCTTAACAACATATGGAAATCCAGGATTTACCCAACTAAAACGAAATTAAAAATCTTCAACACAAATGTAAAAGCTGTATTATTGTATGGCTGCGAAACGTGGAAGATATCATCACCCATAGTACACCAATTACAAGTTTTCATCAATAGAGCGTTACGAAAAATCCTTCGTATATTTTGGCCTAACCGAATCTCCAATGAAAATTTATGGAACCAAAGCAACCAAGAAAATGTCATAAAGCAAATAAGGCGAAGAAAAATGGAGATGGCTGGGCCACACACTCCGTAGACCACCAAATGACATTGCCAGGACAGCGCTGGATTGGAATCCCCAAGGCCGACGGAAAGTAGTCAGACCTAAGGGAACTTGGAGAAGGACAGTACTGAACGAAGGGAGAAAAAATGAGAAAATCCTGGCTTGAAATCAAAGCACTAGCCAGAAACAGAGTTCGCTGGAGACACTTTGTGGAATCCCTATGTTCCTCTTAGGAATCTTGGGACTATATATATATATATATTTTAAGTTAATTAATATTTAAATGGGAATAAGCCACAATTAAAGGTTTAAGTACGTTTATTGACGTTTTAATTTCCACTTCGCACATCCTGCATTTCTGGATCTGAACTCTTTGCTTCTCGTATTTTACGTGAATTTCTTTTGTATGCTTTTTGTAAAGTGTTTCGTTGTTTTTTGCTAGTCGCTGTTGTTCCATCAAATCCAATATGTCATCTGACATCCAAGCTGCTATTCTAGCTTTGACCTACCTTGTAAATTTCTCACACAGATTACTGTTGTTACGATTTTATTTAATCCCTTATCGACGTTTTCACTAATATTTTCCCAAATTAAATTTTCGTTCAGTTATCTTTGAACTGATTCCTTAACTTTCTCGTCTTGTAATTGGGCTGTATCAATATTTTTGCGAGACTACTTTTTGATCACCTTTTTTAATTTTAATTGGGTGACAGCTACTATAGGATTGTAATCTGACCTAATGTCAGCCCTGGATAAGTTTTAACTGATTTGATGCAGTTTCTAAATCGATTTTTTATTAGAATGAAGTCGATTTGGTTCCTAATAATTTTGTCCCCTGATTCTGCATTTGACTTCCAGGTGTAGAGTCTTCTCGGTGGTAGTTTAAAGTGAGTATTCGATATAATGAAATCGTGTTCTTGACAGAACTGGACAAGTCGATCTCCACGTTCGTTTTTGTTTCCCAAGCCATAATCCCCACAATGTTCAAACAGCGTCCTTTGACGACTTTAGCGTTAAAATCTCCGAGGATTATGGTATTTTCTGCGGCTTTGACAAGATCTAGAGCTTCAGTAAGATCTTTGTAAAATGCTTTTAATTTATCTTTATCACTGGATGATGTTGGGGCATAGACCTGAATTACATTGGTAATGAACGGCTTTGAACTAAATTTCACTAGCATTACTCTGTCAGATATGGGGATATAAGTTAATACTAATAGAGCTAAGTGTTTTACTACTATGATTGCAACTCCATTATAGTGATTGGCATCGGTATTTCCGGCATGGTACACTTGATATCCATCTATGTCACATACTCCTGATCCCGACCACCGCATTTCACTTATTGCGAGGATGCTGATTTGCATTCTTTTCATTTCTTTTATGGCGTTATATATTTTACCTGACTCAAACATGCTTCTGGTGACGTTCCATGTGGCTATTTTGCAAGGATTTCGATATTAACGATCTGAGAGGCCCTGCAGTCTTGAGATTGTCCCTCTTGCCGAATCTTGGGATCCGCGATCTATAATCATTAATGTTTTGACTTAAATTATTTACAGCCATGACAGTTAAAACTAGGAGTGCCAAAAGGCCTTTAATGCAGTAGTTCTCCTTTGCTTTCCGCATCCTTCGGCGGAATCCTTCTGGGCTAGTAAAAATCGTCTAAAAACTCAATATTATTGTATTTAAAGTTAATATACATCTTAATAACAATTCTGATATTTGCTTTCGTTTTAAAAATAAAAGCCAAAAAATAAGTACAATAAATCATTCACAAATCTTAAATCAAAGATAACGTGAATTAAAAGCCGAGAACTAAAGATAATTATGCCAGAAGAGTGGGACTTTCCTTGTATTTTATACCAAACGGTTAAAATAGTATTCAGTCTCGCGGCTACGACGGTACATAGCGCGCCGTGACAACTCATAACGTTCAGTGAGAGCGATGTGCGCGATTCTTGAATACAAATCTAGGTTATAACTCACAATCTTATCTACACTCGAGTGATATCATGCCATTGGAAAGTAAAACCGAGAATATGAAATCGTAATTTGGTTTAGAAATAGAAAAAATGTACGAAAACAACATTCATCATAAACATTCGAAAATGGAAGACATTGGGTTGGTTATGAAGGAAATAAAATCCAATAACATGCCGATAAAAAGACTGTTGAAAAACGAGGTGGAAGTCATACCAGCTGTTGAAGAGACAGAAGAAAACGACTGTGATATAGAACCTATAGAACCTAAACAAATTAAAGAAATTAAGGAGCCTGTAGAACATAAGTTACCATCGCCAGCTGGTTCGTTCAGTAAAGCCCCGAAAACGCACCACTCAGACATTCCTATGTATAGTTTTAACTCAATTTCCTCGCACCAAAGTAGCCCTAACTTTAGGAGAAACAATAGCGTTAGATCTCTGAAGAACTACCACCATTTATTGGGTGATTTAGGGGCAGAAACCTCCTAGTAGTGAGTCAGGGATTGTTTCTAAGTCTTCTGACGCCGCGTCACTCAGGTCATGGTCATCGGTGTATATGGGGTCGACCGATGGCAAAAAGATGATTGTTAGGAGAGTTCCCACATCACCGGTGGAGTTGTTTAATATCGTTAATCCTCCAACGTGAGTAACAAATTTATTATATTTTTATGTATTTTAGTTATCGGGTACCCTATGTTATGTATTTATTATCGTAAATAGGTAGTTTATGTAAACAATAGTATAGTAAATTTACATAACTTTTGACCTACTAAAATAATGAATGTCGATTATACCGGTCTTTTTATTCATTATTGAGATAATCAAAATATTATGATAGGTTTGAATGAATTCTTAGCGGTAATTAACATAACGGACATGGCAACAATTAAACAGTTTTAAAAATTTAATGTTTTAGAGGTTAAATAATTATTTTAAGTTGCCATTGAACAATTTTCTAGAAAACATATGGCATAACAAACTCAACACCAAATTAAAAACGATAATATAACGACCAATATTACATCTGTTTAATCTACTTATTTTTGTATGAAGTCTCGTTACACAGCTGTAAAAGTATTAGCCCAGTCTGGTTATGGAAAAATCATCGATTTCACGGCAAAATTTTTCGCAGATATCTGAAGCTTTTAAGACATACTTAGGTGAGGGGTTACTAGATGACCAATAGATGAAAAAGTAATCGTATTTTACCTGGCGTTTTTTTTTAACAATAAACTATGGACACAACTTGATTTTTTGTATGTTAGTTTTTTTCCTTATATTTTACATAAACAATATTTATATAATTTTTTTTATATCAAGATATATCTTCATTTTCCCGTTTTTTCAATTAAAATTGATAAATAATTTACAGATATATTTGCAAAAAGCAGTTTTTAATGTTATTAATACATTTGAATATCGAGAAATTACCGTCTCTTAAATTTGTGCGAAATTTCCCCCTATCGGTCAAATAGTTTTAAAGTTATTTAATTTATTTATTCCTGAGGCTAAATATTTAAACAATTGAACTTGCTCTATTAATGATGCTTGACATATTTAGGGCCGGTTGCTCAACGCTAATCAAAACTCAAATATTTAATTAAAATCAAATATGTTATTTTGCGTTTTAATTTAAAATAAACCATAATTAAACTCTTTCTGATGTCAATGTCATGTTTTTGTTTACAAATCAATAATAATAATAAACAATTTTTAATAATTTTGACAGCTGCTGTGACATATTTGATTGTAATTAAATATTTGATTACAATAAAGTTTTGATTAGCGTTCGAACAACCGGCCTTAGCAAAGTTTATAGGATTCTTTAAGACTTAAACTATCTCAGAAGTTAAATGCATATTGCGTTTTCATCGAAATTATTTACAAAATAATAGTTTGGAAAATGGGTATGTTTTTTACTTATAACAATTGTAATAACTTCTACATTTTTCAAGTTACAGACTATTGTTCTGAAGCTATTTTCGTAATTACTATTTAAATGGGAATAAGCCACAATTAAAGGTTAAAATACTTTTATTGACGTTTCAATTTCTACTTCCTTCCTGTTAGTGATTCCATAGTAAATTATGAGGGAAAAATATTTAAAAAACATAACATGATGTATCCTCCATATGTTACTGACTTACTCATACTGGTATTTTCTTTTTAATAACTTCCTTTTTCAATATGGGTAACCAGATCCTACTACATTCTGCCGAGGAATTTGCGACACAATTGGTCTCATTTAGTATAATTAGAGCCGCTTCTTTGATTTTTCTCTTTTTACCATCCGTTTCTTTGGGACTATATTTGAATCATTCCATTGAACCCTATGTTCATTATTCCATGCGTGTTCACATATTTGAGATCTATCAAATTCTTTATATTTAATATAAGACTGATGTTCATTTATTCTAACATTTAATGGCCTTGATGTTTCACCTAAATAAAACTGATCGCATTCACAAGGTATTTTATAAATGCAATTCTTTGTCCTTTCTTGTTCATTGTTAGGTTTGATTTTGGACAAAATAGATCTCAACGTGTTTTTTGTTTGAATGTTGTTGAATTTATTTCCTATTTATAAAATATCATTTCTAAACAAAATTTAAAAACCACAGTATGGTTGAGATATGTAGATGATGTATTCTCAATATGGCCTGATGGATCAGATTTGTGTGTGAATGTGTCCAACATTCCTAAATGATATAAACGATAAAGTAGAGACAATAACATTTACCATGGAAAAGGAATATAATAACACACTACCTTTCCTGGATGTTTCAATCTCTAAGAATGATACTGGATATGAGACTCAGGTGTATAGAAATCAACACACACCAACAGATATTTAAATTTCAAATCAAATCACAATATTAATATTAAAAAGGGAATCATTAAATCCTTATACGATAGAGCCAAAATTACTTGTTCTAACGAAAATTTGTTCTTGGATGAGAAACATTTGTTAACATCTGTTTTATTAAAAAATGATTATCCTTTATCGTTTATAAATAAGAAATTTTCAACAATCGATCGAATAGAAGAACGAAATCCTACAGCATACACAAGGAATAATACGAGGAAAATAACAATACCATACATAAAAGGATTATCAGAAAAATTTAAAAGGATAGGAAATAAATTCAACATTTCAGCAACATTCAAAACAAACAGACACGTTGAGATCTATTTTGTCCAAAACCAAACCTAACAATGAACAAGAGAGAACAAAGAATTGCATTTAGAAAATACCTTTTGAATGGGCTCAGTTTTATTTAGGTGAAACATCAAGGCCATTAAATGTAAAAATAAGTGAATATCAGTCTTATATTAAAAATAGAGAAATTGATAGATCTCAAATATGTAAACACGCATGGGACAATGAACATAGGGTTCAATGGAATAATTCAAATGTAGTCCTAAAAGAAACGGATGGTAAACAAAGAAAAAAATCAAAGAAGCGGCTCTAGTTATGCTAAATGAGACCAATTGTGTCCCAAATTCCTCGGCAGAGTGTAGTAGGATCTGGTTACCCATATTGAAAGAGGAAGTTATTAAAAATAAAAAGTTGTTCATTCATTTAAAACTGACTTCATTTGCTACAAAATGAAAAAATTGCTTACAAAATCTCTGCACTCTTCACTTTTATAACGCATTCTTATGTAAGCCTAGATGGGATGTTCACATTAAGAAATATCGAATTTTTACTGTCGAGTTGATACAAATTTTATTTACCATTGATTTCGCGCACGCAACTTACAATCAAAATCGCTAGTCGCTTCAAACGTTGTTTATGAGAGAAATATTCTATATAAAAAGTTCAAATAAACATTTTTATTTAAAATTATCTCACCTACATTTTTTATTTGAAGCATTTTTTTCTATGACGTACATATTATTAATAAATCAATTTTTTTGCGTTTTAACCCCCCTACGATGAGGGTTTCTAGGAGGAAGCCCGGGGGTAAAAGTAGTAAACTCTTTTTCATCTTTTTGGGGTCCCAAAAATAATATTTTCGGCAAAGTTCAGCTTGTTCGTCTAATTTTTAGGGGTCAAATCTCTGAGGACTTAACTAAATTGCTGTTTATAATAATTTGTTAAAAACGATTTCCGTATTGAAAGTCGAGCCATGAAAAACAAATGTAAAATGTAATTTTTATTATAATCAAATTGTGGTTTAACATCATATAAATAAAAGGTATTTAACTTAAATATGCCACATACACATTTCATGGCGATCGTCGCCAAAACATATTAAATCATTCTAAAATTAATTAAAAATCATATTAATCATACTACGTCCAAACCCATTTATAATTGATATCTAGCTATTTAGCCATATTTAGAGAAACCCAAAAAGGCAGCATAATTACAACGTCAGCACTATTCTCAGATCCAATTTCTAAATACAATTATTTAATTATGAAGAAACCTTCATTTCCATAAATAAAATTAGATATTCATAAGTTACGACTTACGGCAAGTTGTATGGAATGTAGTAATATTTAAGTGGGCAAAGGCAAAAGTATATTGAGACGTATAGGAAAATCCTTTCTGTTTTTACCTCATCAACTGTTGAATAGAGTAGGGAATTTTCCTTACTAATTTATTTAACTGCTAATATATATAAATAAATTAATATCTAGTAGATTTATAGAGCAAATTGCAAATATTTTGACGATTCATTATGAATTAATTATAACTAGAACAGGTTATCAGAAACAGTCAAAAGCAGAGTATTCAGTTGAAGATATAGTTCTACTACAAATAAAATGATAACTTTGGATAGTTGTGAGAACTAACAGTTTAAGGTATTTAAGACCAATATTAGAGCAATCGGGACATATTGAAACGCTTACAATAGAAGCCTAATCAAATATAGAAATGCCCAAATTACTTTAAATGAAGCCGAAAAACTCCCTTCTACATCAACGCAGGTTGTGGGTGAATATTTTACAATCATGTTCGGAGTCATTCAGGGTCATATCAGTTTTTTAAGCCAATATCAAACCATTTTTTCAAACAATTATTCTTAAACAAAAAATTATTTTAAAAATCCTTTATAAAAGGTATATAATTGAAACACCCTATCGGGCTACAGAAACCAAAAAACCGGAATACCTAGGCCACGTGATGAGGGGACCAAAATATGAAATTTTCAAACTCATAATACAGGGAAAGATTTAAGGAAGATCTGTTGGCCGAAGGCAGAACTCATGTTAAAAAATCTACTGATTGGTATCAATGCAGATCGATTGATTTGTTTAGAGTAGCAAGTTCTAAAATAAAAATATCCATTATGATTGCCGACCTCCGTAGGGAGACGGCACTCTAAGAAGAAGAATCGGGCAACATCGCAGAATATTTTTGGAATTAATATTCAATCATCAGTGTTATCTAGATGTACATGTCTGAGCCACTAAATACTTGCGTAAAAACCTATTAAATGTTAAACTGAATTTAAGTTACATTATTTAATCTTATATACTAGGATGTTTAAGTTACAAGGAATTGATTACATGGCAACATAAGACTCCACTGGAGGTTGCTAGTCTTGAGACAAAGTGTCTATGAGGACTTGTTGATAGCAACTGACTGCACACCGGTATATTGAAGACTTTAGCGAATCACGTAGAAC